GAACCACTACCCTGGGTGTTGGCAGCACAGCTCCTTGTCCATGTTGCCATCCAGGTTTCACATGAGTACTCTGCTTTTTTTAGGGGCTTATTTCTTCAATTGCTTTTCCCCACACGTGGAAATCGTCACTTGGGCTTAGAGCCTCCCCTGACTTGAGTTCAGGTGTCCCTTATCTCACCCATTACCCATTTTTTTTCTGCCATCTTTATTATTTTATGAAAGTGAATGATGCCACTTAGATTGCACAAAATCACACGGTCATGGTGAAGGCAGAAGCCATGTTCATAAAATCTAAAAAGCAAGCCCTGGAAATCTGATACAAACAAGTTCTTTCTTGAACACTCTGTAGAGCCCAATTTCCCCCAGCCTGTGGGCCGTGTCTGTGACTCTGTTCTGCTCATTACGTTCATACTCTGCGTGACACTAATTCCCTGTATTCCTCAGTACTGCCTGGTCCTGTCACCTAATACCAGTCTCCCCACATCAGCTCACGCCCCTTTCAGGCATGTCCTCTGCTCAGAGCCAGAGAGAATCCCATCACCTCAGATCTTAAAGCTGCTCTAGCAAGGCGCATCACTCTTCTAGTGAAGAGGGAACCTGCAGATGTCCATGCAGGGCCTTGTATGGGCTGGCCCTTCCCTCTGCTTCTCCCGGCCCCTCATTTCTGCTCTCTGACCAGCCCGCCCCCCCCACCCAAGCCTTCATGATCTGAGTGTCCTTCCTGCCCCAGTGCGCACCGCGGCTGCACCTGGCCCCCTCCCTGGACTCGTGCCTTCTAATCTCCACCCAGGCATCACTTCCTTGGGTGGACATTGATCTCCTTCCAGTCCTGTCTGTCCATCTGTGATGCGCCCCCGAGAAGTGCCTTCCTCTCCCCCACAACCTCGCTCTCAGTGCCTCCCTAGAAGAACCCAGAGACTTTTTTCTGACTGGTGAGCACCCCATCTGTGCCCCAGCACCTGACACGTGGTTGGCACGTGATACCTGTTTGCTGACTGGATGCACGAATGATCGAGCGTCGGAGCCTGGGACAGAGTCGCAGCGCTAGCGTTGGGATGTAAGGAATCTCAAGATTTGGCACGTCAAGGACGTAGCACGTTTAGGCCTCATTTCATCAGAAGAGGGAGACTTTTCCCAAGACTTTGCAGCGCTGGAAGCAACCCTCTTTGTGAGGGTGCCGTTAGTGCAGGCAGCGGACTTCTTCCCAGGTGGTGGGCGAGTTCTCCAGCTCCAGAGAGGTCCCCCTCTGGCTCTTTGACCTCAGGGGGAGCCTGGACACGTCTTAAAATGTGTGAGACCATTCACCCTGTTGACACAGGACTCTGGATGCAGGTTGCTGTGAACTGGAAGATTTTATTTTTTTCTGATATACGGTAATTTCTGATGTGGACGGTGAGCTGGATTCCTTTTCCTTTTAGCTGTTGGTGAGCTCGGCCAAGTGCCACGGTCACTGCGGCCTGGGGGCTGGACACTGACGTCAGTGCAGCCCTTACAGCGGGCTCATGTTGGCCAGGAGTCCTAGTGGCACGGTAGTTAAAGCATTCTGCTATTATCTGAAAAGTTCGGTCCACCAGCCCCTCTGTGAGAGAAAGATGTGGTTGCCTGCATCCTTCTGTAAAGATTATCACCTGGGAGACCCCATGGAGCTTGTTAGAACCCCCACCCCTCCCCTTCTCTGCAGAGGAGCCCAGGGACCAGCCCCCAGGTGGTGACACAGCGGCCATCCCCGAACGTAAATTGTGTGTGCCTTCCCAGGTCATCTGGAGACATCCACGCAAGCTTCACTTCACCATTATTGATCTCTTTAAAGTGGACCTGTCAGGGAGCCTTCAGTAGATTTGTTTCTAATCAGCTAAGCTGGAGTCTAACGGCTGTTAGACCAGCTCTCTATTGGCTGGCCTGACAGGACATGCGTCTGACTGATGCTTTTGGGCGGGGAAGGGAGCCTTTCAGAATATGAGCGTGGCCACACCGCCCTTTGCTTCTCCCTTTGTCCAGAGCAGGATCCCAACGCCTTTCTCCAAGACTCTGGGGGAGGTTTGTTACTGTTAGGGGTCTCCTGGGGACCCTGTCCTGTCCTGCCCCATCTCACAACCTCAGTCACTATCCACGTTGTTGAGGGTGCAGCTGGAATGGAAGGAGTGAGCGTGGTGGACACGTGGGCAGCCCTTGGCCCAGCGCCCTGCTGAGCAGCACTGTCTGGGTGGCCGAGGATGTGCCCCATCGCCACCCCCTGCTGCCCCGCTCACACCAGCCCTTATAGAGGAGGTCCTGACCCCGGGCCTTCACTCACTCCCTTTCTCTGGGAGTTCACGGTCTTCTTTGTGCCTCTCATGGTAGGACCCAGCATGGCCTAAAAACTGTGTGACTGCAGCCTTCCGTGTGGCCCTCCGGTGTTCCCCCTCCATGGACATGGGGGACCCAGAGACCACACAGAGTGAGAGGATCACACTGAAGTGGAAGCAGTCCTAGAGATGTGTGCACATACACCCCTTAACTGAATGATGCACGTACGCACACACACACTCTCTCTCTCTCCCTTAACTGAATGATGCTCTCACACACGCGCACACACAACTGAATGATGCTCTCTCTCTCACACACACACACACTCCCTTAACTGAATGATGCTCTCTCTCTCTGTCTCTCTCACACACGCACCCCTGAATTTAAGCACCAGCTCAAGCATCTGAGCATAAACACTAGATTGAAGCCCAGATGAATTGGAATAACATCAAGAATATCATCCATGAAGACAGTACAAGATCATTCCAGAGAAGGGGTAAAGAAAAGTCCAAAAAGGATGTGGCAGGAGATTGTGGAAGCTGAACTGGAACAGAAAGAAGCCAGCCCAGGGGAAGGCGTGCTGAAGTCAGAGAGTTTCAGAGGTGTTTCAAGAAGACAGTGTTACAAGGAAAGGTGCAAAGAGCTGAAGTTAGAAAACAAAAAAAGAGTACATTCTTCTATATTTTTCAGGTTTAAAAAAAATGGAAGAACAAATTCAAGCCCAGAATTGCAATACTTAAGGAGTCTGTGGGCAAAATCTCGAACGACAAAGGAAACATCAAAAGAAGATGAAAGCAAAGATAGTCACTGTATCAAAAATAATTGGTTGACACGAAACCATTTCGTGAAGTAGCTTATGATCGAGAGCCAACGGGAGTGAAGGAATCAGCTCAGGTGCCTCCGAGCGGAGGAGGGAACGTCCCAGGAGTTGATGGGAGACCAGTTGCCGTCTTTCAACCACCAGAGGCTAACTCTGTACGTGTCACTGTCCCTGGAGGAAAAGGGGGAGCAGGAGTGGGTCACAGGAGAGGATGGTGGTGATGGGGTCCCCACAGGGGCCTCTGGCCTCACCTCAGTCATTGGCCATGAAGGTGATTCAGGAAGGTGACCGTAGGCTTGTCTGTGAAGGCTCAGCTGCAGGACTTGGGAAGGACAGGCCCACAGCCCTCTCCTGGCCTGGTCCTCCAGGCTGTGGGGTTTCGGGACCCTTCCCCACGTGGGCCGTTCCTGACGGGCTGGTTCAAAGGACTTGTAGACACTTAGAGTTGCTGCTGTTCTGTGTGTTGGAGTCGATGACTCATAGTGACCCCCACAGCTTAGTGACCCTCTGCACACAACAGCCCTGCTCCCTGCTCTAACCTGAGCCACCACACTGTCTCTGAGACACCCACCCTCAAGCCCCGTTACTCTGTCAAGCCACCTCATGAGGGGTCTTCCTCTCCTGCACTGCCCCTCGGCCCTTCCAAATGTCCAAAGTATGTGAGACGGAACTTCAGAATCCTTGCCTCCAAGGAGCAGCTTGGCTCCATGCTCTCCAGGATGAACCTGTCTGTTCTCTTGGTGGCCCGTGGAACGTTTAGCACTCTTCTCCAGCACCACTGCTCAAAGGAGTCTTCTTGTCATCCTTGGTCACTGTACGGTCTGTCCTCTAACCACCCAGAGACGGCTCCGTCCTGCAAGCTACCTGGGTCTGACTGGACTCTTGCTGATGCTGGTTTTCCCATTAGACTTTCTGGTTTCCTCCCAGAATGAGGACACGCTGACCAGTCCTCCTTATCAAGCAGGTGGCAGGAGGAGTTTTTATTCTCCCTTAAACAAACCGTGTGTATTGCTAAGGTTTTCTTATCAGCTTGTGTAGTTCTTGGGTTTGCTTTGTACTAGGGGTTGTGTCAGGGTGTGAGATGCCTTGCTGCGTCCCCCACGTCCAGTGGCCGGTGCACCCACCCCTCTGGGTAGTGAGTGCTCTGTCCCGATCAATGAACATCTCATAGTGTCTCCGGGTCAACTTTACGGCCTGGGAAGATGAGCCTTGAGGGGCTTCAGCTCTGGGGACCACACCCCAGGCACCCACCCCTGGAGCTACATGGGATGAGGTGTTTGGGGCTCCCATTCAAGGTGGGACTCACGTGTGGCCCAAATGTGAGGCTCTGGGAAGTGCCCATGGGCACAGGCGGTGCTGTGCGCCCACAGTGGCTGCGTCCTTCACCCCACTTCTCTTTGCTCCCCAGTTCCAGTGGCGATTCTCCCGAGAGGAGCTACGTAGCAGGAGGCTGAGGAAGTCCAGAGGCCGGTCCAGTGCTGGAGGCCGACGCCGCGCGGAGGAGACCGAGAAGGGCTTGGAGGACCCGCTTCCCAAGCCTGGGGGTGGGGACCAGCGCCCGGGAGCTGATGGGGAGCAGGTTGGGGGCCATGTCCCCGAGAGCAGGGTGGACAAGCCAGGTCCTGAGGGTGGGCTGGCAGGGGGCACCGTGCACAATGGCCCGGCCACCCTCAGCAGGGACCCCGGCAGGGGTGGGGGCCTTGAGGATGCTGCCCCAGCAGAGGACTGAGTCTGGGGCTGCTCTGAGGCCCGGTGACCTGCAGGCCTGAGGGCCACTCCTGGGAGCCAGCAGGGCAGGCTTGCCTGGTATTGAATGTGACCTTGTTTGACCTCCCCTCCTGTGTCGGCCTGCCCCTCCACGCTGCGTCCTGAGGGAGCTGGTTCCTGTGAGTCCATTAGAAACAGGCCCTCCTGCCCCAGTGTGAGAAAGTTCAAGTGCAGGGGCTGCTCCTGACACTCAGCTCTGGCCCCACCTCCTGAGGAGGGAGGGCCTGAGCCACCCAGTGCCTGTGCCAGCCCTGCAGGGCCCCCAGGAACGCCCAGGACTCCAGACAACCCTGCCTGCAAACCATCCACTCCCACACCCAGCGGAGACACGCCGGCCCTGCCGCCTCGGGCCCTGCCTGGTGACTTTCAACACCTGGGGAGTCCTGGCCACCTTTCACCTAAACCCTCAGACCCTGCCATTCGGCCGAGAGTGCCTGGGAGGAGGTGCCCGCCTCCCACAGGTGCTGGATGCGCTGCTCTCGCAGAGGGCCGAGGACAAAGTCTCAGTATCCATGCCAAAAATTTGTAAGGGTTTTGTACTCGGCACACGCTGTGAACACGTTTCTTGGTGTCGTTTTGGGGCGCCCTGGTGAGGTGGGTGCCCTGGTTTTGTGTGATTTTAACCCATGTATCTTTGGCCATGCTGTTAGAGAATATGCTGTGTCTATCACGTGTTTATATTGTTCAGAAAGTATCTTAAGGCTTTAAGTAGATGCAAGTGGTGAGCTCTGGAGAGACGCTGCAGACGGTATTGACCAGAACCAATAGCCTGCCTCTTCTCTTTCTTGTTTAGTTACTTAAAGCAATAAATCATTGATGACTTAGTGCATTTTGGGTACTGATTATTGTATCTGGTCATGTGTCCAAAAGTACTGACCTCACATCCCTCATTTACCATTTCTATTTCTTTCATTGAAAAAAAAAAAACCAAACCCAAACCAACCAAACCCACAACTTATCAACAAAGCATTTCAAATATAGAATAATTTGGTCCCCATCTGTTGTTATGTGCCGTCAAGTTGCTTGCGACTCATAGCGACCCTATGTACAACAGCCCTAAACTCTGCTCTGTCCTGTGCCAATCACACTGTCTCTGACACTCCCATCCTGATTACCCCAGTCACTGAATCAGTCCACCTCATAGAGAGTCTTCCCCTCCTGCGCCGTCCCTCCACCTTCCCAAGCATGATGTCCTTCTCCAAGGACCGGTCCCTCCTTACAACATGTCCAAATCAGACAAAGCCCCAGAATCCTTGCCTGCAAGGAGCAGCCCGGTTTAACCTTCTCCAGGATGAATCTGTTTGTTTTCTTGGCAGTCCATGGTACATGCAATCCTCTTCTCCAGCACCACAGCTCAAAGGCATCAATTCACCTTCTATCCTCCCTAGTCATTGTCCAACTCTCGGATGCATAACAAGTGATTGCGAAGACCAAAGCCTGTATCAGACGCACCTTAGTCTCCAGAGTGACACCATTGCTCTTCAGTACTTTGGAGAGGTCCCTAACAGCAGACTTTCTCATCGCAATACGTTTTTTTATTTCCTGGCTGCTGGTGCCAAGAGTGTTGACCGTGGAGCCAAGTAAACTGAAGCTGTGAACAATTTTTATCTCTTCGCCATCCATCCTGATGCTGCCAATTGGTCCAGTGGTGAGAATCTTTGTCTTCTTGACATTGAGCCTCAATCCATACTGAAGGCTGCAGTCCTTGACCTTCTGCAGCAAGCATTTCAAGTCCTCCTCAGTTTCAGCAAGCAGGGTTGTGTCATCTGCATAATGCAGATATCATCTACTGCTACTTAAAAAATTTGAGTCGATACCATTTTTTAGAACAGTTACACGTTTAAAGAAAAATTGCACAGTTCTCATAAGCTCTGTGTCCAGACTCCTGTTATGCCACCTGCAACCTGTCTGTCATGAAGCACGTCACTGCATTACTGGTCGTTAAAGTCCTCATTTGTTTGATTTCCCGGGTTTTACCCTTCAGTGTCCTCTCTGTTCTAGGATCCCATCCAGGAACACACGTGACATGAGCTGTCGGGCTAACATGTTTTGCTCCTGTAACGCGTCACGCCAAGCCTGGGGGCCGACCCTAGCACAGAGGCACCCCCTGTTCTGGCAGTCAGCTGTGTACAGTGGGCGTGCAGGGGGCTCCTTCTGGTCGTTCTCAGGGACACCAGTGGCCCTGCCTTCCCCAGGCTTGGGGGCTGCCGACAGTCCGGGCTGCGGCCCTTTCCTCTCTGACCTCTGCCGTGGTCCTCTCGGCAACCCACCAGCATAACTGCTCCACCGCAAAGCTTGTCATTTAATCCTCCCATCAAGTCTCTTCAGTGAGTGAGGGAGTGAAGCAAGTCTTTCCCGTGTTTGCAGTTTTCTGAAGTAGAACCCACAGGTAACATGTCTGGAGGGAACAGTTCCCTGCCGTGAAGCGGGTGGAGTCCGCCGTCCCTCTGGGCAGGGCTGAGGCCAGGCTGGCACACGGGCCTGGAGGAGCCAGAGCCATTGCTTGGGATCACACCGGGCTGCAGGGCCCGCGTGCTGGTGGACGGAGGGCCCATGTCCTCACACCGGGCTGCAGGGCCCGTGTCCTCACACCGGGCTGCAGGGCCCATGTGCTGGTGGACGGAGGGCCCGTGTGCTGGTGACAGAGGGACTGTGTCCTCACACCGGGCTGCAGGGCCCACGTGCTGGTGGACGGAAGGCCTGTGAGGCCCATGTCCTCACACCAGGTCGCAGGGCCCACGTGCTAGTGACAGAGGGACTGTGTCCTCACACCGGGCTGCAGGGCCCGCGTGCTGGTGGACGGAGGGCCCATATCCTCACACCAGCTGCAGGGCCCATGTGCTGGTGGACGGAGGGCCCATGTCCTCACACCAGCTGCAGGGCCCGCGTGCTGGTGGACGGAGGGCCCATGTCCTCACACCAGGATGCAGGGCCCATGTGCTGGTGACAGAGGGACTGTGTCCTCACACTGGGCTGCAGGGCCTGTGTGCTGGTGGACGGAGGGCCGATGTCCTCACACCAGGTCGCAGGGCCCACGTGCTAGTGACAGAGGGACTGTGTCCTCACACCGGGCTGCAGGGCCTGTGTGCTGGTGGACAGAGGGCCGATGCCCTCACACCAGGTCACAGGGCCCGTGTGCTGGTGACAGAGGGACTGTGTCCTCACACTGCGCTGCAGGGCCTGTGTGTTGGTGGACATTTGGGCCTGGGTCCTCACACCGGCCGCAGGGCTCACATGCTGGATGGACAGATGGACGTATGCTGAGCCGCTGCCCCAATGAGGCACCCATGCTAAGCGCTTCAGAGACACTCAGGACGCCATGCGGAATGGGACAGGGGGCCTGACTCCGTGAGGCTGGCCCGGAAATAGAGGACATGAGCAGTCAGGTGGCACAGAGGTGACAGGAGCCCCGCAGGTTACAGCACCCAGGCTAGAGTGCCGAGGACCAGGTGCGTGGTCCTGAGCAGGGGTAGCGGTGCAGCGTCCCTGGGCCTGACCTGAGGGCTGCCCGAGGTCCCTGGACTTCCTGACGGTTTGGCACATGCAAGAACGTCCTGCGATTGTGTGACCGTGGATCAAGGTGCGATGAGAGCTGTGGCGACTGCAGCCTCTCCTGTCTCCTGACGGCAGAGTCGATCCTGTCGTGGTAACTTTCACGTTGCAGAGTCTTCCGTACTGAAGACTGCAGACATCCTTCTGCGTCATCACCCAGAGCTTTGGCAAGCGGGGCCGTGGATGAAAGGCCCAATACAATGCCTGTCACTTCAGGAGACGGGTTGTTGGGAAAGATACGGCCTGTGGTACAGAGGGAGACATGTCCATCTTGTGGCTGCGAGGCAGGGTCTGAGATCTCACCCGAGACAACGTCTTAATGGGGCTGCTGGCAGGTCCGGCCAGGCCTTCAGCCGAGCACCCATGGGGAACTGGCCTGGTCTGCCAGCGGTGAGGACTGTGTCTTAGAAACGCGGCCAAGGCAGCCATTCCCTCCAGAAATCGTTTTAAAACATAGTCTGGTAGACTGCTGGAAGGAAAGCTACACGCTGTGACTGATGCCGGTGCCTGCAGACCCCTCCCCAGGCCACGGGATCCCCAGCGGGCGGACGGCACAGCCCAGCTTGCTGAAAGTGAGGAGGATATGAAACCCTCGCGGCACCAGGTCACGAGCCACGACTTCCCGAACGGCTCACATCTCACCATCAGGAAGACAAAGGTCCTCAGCTCAGGACCAACAGTCACCTCATTTCTGCTAGGCCACCAGAGTGCAGATCCGTGCGTACACCTAAGGGATTTCTGTCAGTGGACGGAAAGTGAGTAGTTGATAGAGGAGACAATCCAAATCATTGGGGGGATACAAACTGCCGGATAAACGGGGTGAACGACGAGGGCGCCACACCCAGAGTCCGGGCCCGGCTCTCCATCAGGCAAAGCCAAATCCCGGTGGGTGACACGGTGTCAGAACATAGCACACCCACAAGGCCCCGGCACAAGAGGAACACACGTGACTCCACTGCACTGAGAAGTCTGGTGGGGATGCAGCCAGCAGGACCCGAGGACAAGGAACAGACTGGAGACATGTTTGAAAACGTGAGGGCACGAGACTCACTTCATTTATAAAGAGCGACAAGTTTAAATGGACATAAAATGTGAACACACCATTCTCAGAAAAGACCTGGTGAAAACAGAATGTTAGGAAGAAAAAAGGCTTGGACAAAACGGAAAATCATTCACGAAAAGAAAACAACTCCTTCACCCAACTGTAGGGAGGAAAGCCGTGTAAAGAAAGAACAGCTAATGCTGTCCAAAGGGCCAGAAAACGAGTCCTCTCAGGCCTGGGAAGAATATACGAGGCGGCATCGGATAAGGAACTCCGTCAACAGCCACCCTGAAGGGCAAGTCCATCCTCTCTGATCCCGAAATCCTTGCACTGGTTCTAATTCTACAAGAAGACATACGTACACAATTCCGTGGACATGCCTGTCTGTGGCGATGTGGTTACTACAAAGCAAGAGCAGAGGCCGGCTGCAGTGTCCACCAGGGACGTCGGTGGGCGGGAGGTGCCGGAGGATCAGCTCCGACTTAGCCCACCAACCCCCACATGACCCTGGGCCATCCTCAGCCTCTGCTGGGCTTCCGTCCACACTGGCATACACCCCTCACGTGGGGGTAGGAATCAGCCATGCAGGTGTAGACACACACACACAGAGTCAATTCACCGTGGAAGTCTGAATGCACAGTACAGAAGCTCTTTCTAGACAGACTCCTTCTAGGCGGGGGGAGGATGGAGGGGAACAGGACATTGACATCTATGCTTGATATTTAATATTTCCCAGCCACATTCCTCAGGCAAGCACAAAAATACCAAGAAAACGGAACAAATCTCACTGTGCTCCAGCCGAATGGAATAATGGGACAGGAGACTGACCCCGGTGGTCACTCAGCACAGAAAGCGGGGCCCTGGGACCCCAGCGCGTTAACGCCTGGACCCGTGGTGGCTGTGCGTATCTGTGCATGCATCGCCCGGCCTGCTATTCATGTGCATATTAAGAAGGGCTCGTCCGACAGACCAGATTTCTCCCCGCTTCCCGAGGAATAGAACAGTATGCTGCTTTGGGCTGCATTTACAAAGAAAATGAAATAACAGCTGTCGGGTTAAATTATCAGCATATGATCATCTGCAGTGCCCAGGAAAAAAAGGAAATTGCTGTTTTTCATTCAGAAAAGAAAAAAAAAAATCAGAAGCGCAGGGCGCTGGCTACTGCTTGCAATGAGCACGTGTGCACAGACGCTGGACTCGCACGCGCGTGTGCACCGACATGAGGGCTGGAGCGTGTCACCCCAAAGAGACCGGCCATCCAGTCATCTGTTCACTGATCTCTACAGCGTCCCCCCATCCCAAGCCAGGGCAGGCTGCAGAAACCCACTCTTCCCCGGGCATTTCACCTTCACTGTCGTTGAAACGCTCAGTGTTTAATACCGTTTCTAGAAGATACAGCTTCCGTCACTCGTTGCTCAAAAGGTGCAGCCAAGTACAATTCATAGAGACCCTGTGGATGAGAGATCGGGACCCCGGCCTGGCCCGTGCCATCCTCACCCTGCCCGACCCACTGGAGCTCAGTGCGGCCGTCACTGCGTTAACCCATCGCACTCAGGGTCTTCCTCTCGCGCTGACTTCCACCTTTCCAAGCATCACATTCCTCCTCAGAGGAGAGCCTCTCCTAGCAACGTCCCCAAGTGCGTGAGAAGAAGCTTCTCCATCCTTGTCTCCAATGTGCACTCTGGCTGCGCCGATTCCGGGAGTCTCTGATTGTTCTTTTGTCGTTCATGGGATGCCCTGTGCTCTTCTCCAACACCCCAGCTCAAATCAGCCTGTAGCCTCATGGGCACGTCGTGCCCCAAGTAGCTGACTTCCTCAAGGTGATCTTTGCTTTACGCTTTCCTGTCTTCAATGTCGAGCCGGCACTGAACACAGCAGATGCTCTAAAAGTGGCAGCTGATCAATTTGTCACCCTCCAGAAAGCTGTCACCACCCCACAGGTGTCCTGGAGAACGGTTCCTTCACAGACTTCTATACAATGAGATCCTTTCTGTCATCTTTGTAGACTGAGGGTTCAGTAAACAATATTGTGTTGATGTTAATGTCTTTTGTTTTGACGGACACATCATGGTTCTATGCGCTAAATACGTCCTCAAGCAGATGGCCTGACACAGTGACTGCAGCTCAATGGGTTTCAGTGTGGTGGGGATCACGGGGTGGTGCAGGCTGGGACCGGCTCAGGTCTGCTGGTCAAGGTGACTTCCAGAGTCCCCGACAAGAGCCATCACAGTTCTGCAGGTTGAGAACCTGTGGGGAGCTAGGTCAAGGGTTTATGGCAACTCTCCTGTAAATCTGGATGTTTTAAAAGATGAACACACCCCCCAAACCACCCCAGTGGTGCCACCACCCACCAGGGTGAGACCATGAATTCTCTCGGCCCCACTTCCCTTCCCAGCTACACAGATCCCATCTTCTCCTTCTTTTCATGGTGTCTTGGAAACTACTGTTCTCCTCCCTCTTAACTCCTTCCTCTCTTCCACTCACTCACGGGCGCCCACCTTCTCACTCTGCCCACACCATGTCACCAGGACCTCCAGGGTCACAGCTGTGATCACACACCTGGGGACGCAGCAGTGAAGTGGCCTCAAGGCCAGCAGCCGGGCTGGCATCTGACTCAGGTGCCCAGGCCGAGGGCTTTCTCACCTGCACTCTGAGCCACGCTGCCTGGAGCGGGCTCATTTGAGTCCAAAGGATCGTGTCAGTTGGTCGAGGTAACAAGGCCCTTGGCGCCCTCAGACGGGAAGATGCTGCTGACATGCAGAACAAGGAATGGCCGAGCTGAAAGGCACAGCTGTGACAGTTGCGGGCCGGCCCATCTTCCACGGATGTGAGGGTGCACCCGGTGGTGGCGGCGGGCACAGGGCAGAGCTGAGGTCTCCAAGCCGAGGGTCCCTTGCTGTGTGCCAACAGCAGAGACTGGAGTGTTTGCTGATGAGGGTGATGGAGCACTTTCCCAGGCACTCAGCTCACCTCAGGCGGCCCTGGTGACACTGCCTGTGTGTGTCCACACTTAACACCAGGCCCAGCGGTGCCCCTCGCCCCCGCTTCCTGGTGGCCACCACCCCATTTCTGATTCCCATCTCCCTCTCCTCCCCGTGGCCATCTCTCCAGCCTCCTAGAATCTCACTGGGCCCTTGGCCTGGACAGTCTGGGGCCAGTGAGTGAGCTGGGCCCCGTGGTGAGCGTCCCTGAGCTCTGGGCACAACCTCTCAGCTCCGATCTTGGGTTCCTGAATGGGCACTGACATTCCCTGCCAAGACCCTCCTTTCTTCCCATTGAACTGAAACCTGGAACCGTTGACAGATGAGGTCGGCTTCAACCTTGATGACATGGTGGTTGGAATGGTGACGTCAACCATCTCCAGGGCCCGTAAAGAAACTGGAAGGGAGGCCGGTGCCTGTGGGGCATGCAGAGAGATCAGAAAGGGGATGGTCTTCCTGCCCCCCATGAACAGAGGTTTCGTCCAGCGGGGTCCTGGGTGCCCAGCATGTCTGTCCTCCCTGCCTGGGGCCGAGCCGCCTTTCACACGTTATTGACCTAAGGCCAGGCTACTGTCTAGCACTTTCACAGAAGTGGGGTTGCGGGAAGGCCGCCACTTTGTAGATCGCCCTTCTGGAAGGAGCTCGACCGACCAGAAGTGCTTTCTCTCAGTCTTTCAGCAAACACCTCACAGCTGCTGTGGCCAGGAGCACCCGGCAGAGACGAGCAGACGCAGGAAGTGGGGTCTGGGAAGAGCTCGGTCCTAATCAACCCCAAGCACGTTTCCAAAGCAGCTGGCTGGCCTCTGACGGCGACTCACTCAGGTTCCCAACACGTGCCAACGTGAGCTGATGGGACAGCGGCACCACAGCACTCCAGAGGAGGGTGACAAGAACCAGCGTCTCAGGACGCGGACCTGGCTACTCACCAGCTGTGAGCATGGTGGACTGCAGCCCCCATGCGAGCTTCCCGCTGGCCTTCCACTTGTGGGCCCAGCTGACTGCCCAGAGCAGCCAGTCCGCAGCCCATGGGAAGGGAGACCAAGACAGTCGACAAAGACTTTGCAAAGTAAAATGATTTTAAATATGTTCAAAGTGGGTTTATTTAACATACATCAGCTGCTGACAAATACTTTAAAGAAAGCCTACCCCTCACACATCAGCCCCATTTTCACACGATTAAATACAAATCTATGATCCCCCCCCCCATCAAGGATAAATGAAAATCTGTATTGACCAAGTCATGGTGTAGCATGAGAATGAAAGTCATTAATTACAGCAAGTCCACAGAGTAAAAAATAGTTTAATCAAGAGTCTTTGCCAACGCTGATCTTTCGGGTCTGTAAGCAGCCGTCTGTCGACAAGTGAGGCAGTTCGGGGAGGTAAGTTCTCACCCCAAGATCTGCCCGTGTCCATCGGCTCCGAGCGGACGTCACAGAGCCTGCCCAGCTCCCCGACGCCCTACCACCACTTCTCAAAGCAGATGTGCTCCCTGGGCACGTGGCTGCCCTCCAGCTGCTTGGAGAAAAAGTCCGTCATCGGAGGGGGCCCGCAGATGTAGAACAGGGTCTCTCTGGAAATAAGGTCTCTTATCTCCTCCTCCTTTATTCTTCCTTCTGGGAAAAACCACCAGCAAAGCAGCACATCAGGCCAGGTCTGCCCTGAGGACCAGCCCCCGAACCCAGCCCGGCTCAGCTGCAGAGAGGAGGAAGCAGGGTGAGCCGTGAGGAGCCCAGACCGTTCGCTGGGTGGCTCCACTGGCCCTGACCAGCCCCACAGCCCAGCCTACATGCAGATGTGGAGAGGAGGAAGGAGGGTGAGCCGTGGGGAGCCCTGACCGTTCGCTGGGCAGCTCTGCTGGCCCCCCAGGCAAGTTCACGCCTCGACTGCTTCTGACTCTAGGGACGGGTGGGAAGCTGAAGCTGATCCCGGTGGGGATTCAGAACCACCTTCAACAAATAAGCAGTTTTGCGAAATTTTTGATGCAGGAAAACCACTGAAATGTTCCTTAACAGCAAAGGCAATCGGCTGGGTTCAGTGGGGTTCCCTGCATGGACTCGGCCACACCAGCAATGAAGCCAAGGGCCTCCACGTACGACCACAGCCCCACGGAGGACACGCCAGCGATGAAGTCAAGGCCCTTCACATATGACCACAGCCCCACATGGACTTAGCCACACCAGCAATGAAGCCAAGGCCCTTCACATACGACCACAGCCCCGCGGAGGACAGTGGGAGAAGGCCCCCACGTGCAGGGCCAGCGGCACCCAGCGCTTCCTGCCCAGGACCACTCCTCTCAGTCCCAGGTGATGGCATTTCCAGCCAGCACTGACCCTCCGTCTAGTGACCGTGGGGACATGGCGGGCACCTGAGGGACTCACCAGTGACATATGGCTTGAGGTCTGCACTGATGGGCGTTGTCTGTTTGGTAACATGCAAACTGCACGCGATCTTCTCGGGAAATTCATTCACTAACTCGAGAATGTTCTTCTGGAATGTCAAGCATATGTGGTCATAGCACATGTTAGAGGACACACGCCGGCCTCCCCTCTTGCACATGTCTGTCCACCTCGCTGTCCCAGCCAAATGCAGGGCAGTGTGGCCCTAACATGACTGTCACACACACGCGCGCGCACGCCATCCTGCGGCCTCTCCTCCCTGTCCTCAAGCACCGGCTCCTAGAGCTGTCCACTGGCCACAGGCGGCCTTCTAACTGCTTCTGTTCTTTTGTTCTGGCTCCGGCAGCTGCAGGGCCACCTCGGTGACAGCTTCCTCCAGACGAGCGGAGTCTCTGCACATGCGGTGCAGGCCCGGTGACCAGCTGGGAGCGATCAGCACCTCCCTGTGCTGTGGAGCAGGCCTACATGCGGGTGTCCAGCTGGGGGCCTCGGGGACTGGGCACAGGGTCTGCCCCCACCTCCAGATTCAAGCCCACTGAGGCGACCCCCATCCCAGGCTAGCTGGGCGCCCCGCCCCACTCGCAGTCCTAATTGCCCTGTGTGAGATGCCTGCTTCATTCTCATTTGAACATGATTAAGCATTGTTCTCAACAATGCTTGATTACAAGACAGAACTGATGGAGAAAGTTCCTGGGTAATTGTGGTAACTGATCCCGTCCCAGAGTCTGTGCACGGCGAGCTGTGAGGCACTCCCCGGCCCTCACCCCCGCCAGGAGTCGGCTGCCAGTTCTTGGAAGTTGTACTGTTCACGTGTCCACGTCCCCCTCACCTTGAACAGGAGCTGGTGCCGTTCGCACTGCGGTTGGTAGGTGCTGCTGAGTCGAGTGTGAGGCACAGTGACCCAGTGACAGACCTGAGCCTTGTCCTGTCCTGTGCCGTCTTCACTATCTCTGACACACTTGAGCCCACTGCTGCAGCCGCTGTGTGAACCCACCTGGTCCAGGGGCTTCCTCTCCTTCGTCACCCCACACCTTTCCAAGGAACACCCTCTCCTAGCAATGTGTCCAGAGCATGCCAGGTGAAGCCTGGAGAACAGTCACTGTGCCCACCTCATAGCCTGGCCCCTCACCGTGGACAGGACCCGCTGCCCCGGCCCCTCACCGTGGACAGGACCCGCGGCCCCGGCCCCTCACCGTGAACAGGAGCTCGCTGGTGTTCCTTGCGCTGTAGAACAGGCTCACCGTGCCCACCTCGTACCCACGGCCCGTGGCCGCCCTCTCTCGGAGGAGGTCCGCTGCGTGCCGCAGGATGGAGAGCAGGGGGTTGATGCCCACCCCGCCTGCGATCAGCACCAGGTTTCTGGAGGCATCGTGGGGCTGAGGGTCAAAGAAGAAGTCTCCACCCACTCTCAGGGCCACTTCAGAGTCCAGCGTGCACTAGGACAAGAGGGAGAAGACCCTCAGGCCTTTCTCCGTGGTGCCCACCCCCAAGCGGCAGCAGGGCCACCTCCCGCCTCGCATTCAGATCAGAGGCCTGCGTGAGAAGCTTGCAGCCATCCGCCCGCCTGCGGACGGGACCCACTTGTCCCTGACACAGGCCACTGCTCTCTTCTCCGGCCCGATCCACATGCATGGTTGCTCTGAGAAAAGGCGCTTCAGTCCACTGGCCTGGCCCTTTGCTGACCCCCAGGCCATGGACTGGGGCGCGGGGGCGGCGGTGAAGCACAGCCCTCCCCCATCTCAGCAGCCTCCTGGGGTCTGAACAGGCACAGGCGCTCGACAGTGGACGTGGCGGGGGGCCTGCATCACCCTCCTGCAGCCAGTGGGTGACCGGTGCGCAGAGGTGGGAACACCGGGCTCTCTGAGGAGCCCACCTGCGCGCCTCGTCACCTGTCCCAGGTGGGGGGCATATGACCCAGGAAACACACGGCACTCAGGTGAGTCACAGAACTGTGACTCCACGTCAGGATGACGTGACGGTTAAAACCCAGAGTCTGCAGAGAGAGGCGCTAATCTAGGGGCTCGAGGGCCCAGTCTAACCACAGTCACGGCCAGCCATCCACACAAAATCCTGCGGTGCGCTCGCTTCTCAAGGACCCCGTCCTGCTCGCCCCGAAGCTGCCGCGGCATCACATTCCAAACAGCCCAGGAAGGAACATGCTTACATGAGAAGTAAACTGGATTGCACTGTTGCCCCCCGTGAATCAAGGAAACAAACTCCCTCTGAAGAAGTAACAAAACATCACAAGCTTTGTGTTGAGCCAAGTCCAGGATTTACAGTACAACCTAAGACACAGGACGCTCTGGCTACAATTAGAGTGGACGCGGCCTGTAGCCCAGCTCGCCGGCCACCAAAAGGCCACAGCCTCAGCGGTTTGCATCTCCACCTGAGAGGGTCTGAGCGCTCCCCTCCCCGAACACAGCCTCAGACGCCCGACGGGGGTCACTGAGTCATAGCTGTGAGTTCTGAGTGGTGTCCTCTCCCCAGGCTCTGGGGGTCCCCAGTGGTCAAGCTCTTGGCTGCTGTTTGAGCCCCGCAGCTGCTCTGTGGGAGAAGATAAGGCAGTCCACTTCCAGAAAGATCCAGAGCCTTCGAACTCCATAAACTCATGTTAAACTCACCGTCTCTGAGTCAGCTGTGACTCACAGGGGACCCCCCCCCCAAAATCAGGCTTTCTGAGGCTGTGATTCATTACGGGGACGGGACTGCTCGTCTGTTCCCCACAGCGCTGCTAGTGGACTTGAACCTCCAGACACACACAGCCCGCGCACAGCCCGCGCGCAGCCCACGGTGCCTACACCACAGAGCCCCCCGGGGACCCGCTGGCGTGTTCTGCTCTCTCCTGTGGGTCACCGAGTCCACACTGAGGTGACACAGGGCTGTGGGTGCCAACGTGGCTTCTGTCCTCTCCCACAACTACAGGGATCTAAGCGTCAGGCCGAACGATGGAGCAGTGACTGGCCGCTGGGATCTCCGCTGTGCTCACACACGAGGCCAAGGCAAGGCCTTCGGTCACTGTTTTCAGAAACCAGAGGGTTTCAGCCTGAAAGGAGGTAAGTAAACGGGCCCCAAGGAAAGTGAATGTTCAAGGAGCTGCTGTCTCTTCGGTGCCAACGTCACCTTGAGCCGCTCTACCCTCTCAGTCACCGGCTTCTGGGAGGGGTCAGCAGCCCCCTGGTCCTGGTCAATAAACCTGCTGGGGCAGCATGAAGACAGGACACTGTGCTGCACAGGGAGGTCTCAGCTGCCATCACACAGCAAACTATGCAGATTTCCTACTGCACAGATAAACAAAGGACCTTCCCACAGCCGCGCTGTCCCCCACAACAGAGCCCTTCCCCCAGCAGGAGACAGGGCCAGAACGGTGAAAATCAGGAGGACATTTAGGGCACTTAACCCCACGTCCCGACAGCAGCTGGCTGCCACCCGGCCACTGACCAGCCACTCAGAGGGCTCAGTAAGACCGATTCTCAGGAGGAAAAATCACGCCGAGCGTGGCTGCCAGGAAGCTGGCTGGGAAGAGTGGAGCAGGCAGACGTCAGGATGACCGGGTGCACACAGGGCCCCTGGACAGCCTGCAGCCTCTCACCGCACGGCCTTCCCCCAGGCCCGCGCTCCGAACGTGGATGGAGGGCACCAGTCCGCGATGTGTCCCCTTTCCACAGAGGCCTAGGCTGCTGGTCAGTCCGGGGAGCTGAGCGCAGACTGCGTGAGAGAGAAAGGCGCACAGGGCGGTGTGCTCACCTGGCTGTCGGTGTGCTCACCTGGCTGTGGACCCAGAGGGCAGGAGGGTGGGTGGTGTATTTCACAGCAAGTTCTAGAATTCTCTCTTGTTGGAGAAGCCTGGGACTGGAGCATATGGAGAAGCCACCAACCACAGGGACTCCGGGGATAGAGAAATCAACCCTGGAGGGAAGAGACAGAAATGATCAACGCGGAAAGAACGTCCCAAACGGGCCATCAGATGAAATCAACCACCTCAGCATGAGAGATCAGGGAAAAGACAGAAGGGCAAACAGTACAGTCAGGGGTGAAACAAAGGCATCCTGAGCAAGCTTACAAAAGAAGAATTATTCCAGGAGAATCTCCCAAATAACCGTAAGCCAACAAAGTGAAACACTGGCATGAAACGCTGCCGTTAGGAGCCCTCAAGTCGACTGTGACTCATCTACACAAACAAGTAAAATCACTTCACGAAGAAAGAGGAAATGTGGGTAGACCTATAAAGGGAGTGGAAAAGGACAGGCCTCCATTAGTTCACTGAGAACTCCGCAAATACATGGATTTCATTTCACTTCACTCCACATTCAACAGCCATGAGAGCAGTCGGTCACGAGAAAAAGACGAAGCCCAAGTATAAAACAGACAGGAGACAGGGAAAGAACTGTCACAGAGAAGCTATTCGAATGACCAGCAGACACATGAGGAAATGCTCCAAACCACTGGCAATCAGAGAGATGCAAATCAAAACCATACTCACTCCAGTAACAGTGGCAAAGTTTAACAGGGCAGCAAGGAATAGATGCTGGAGAGGATGTGGCGAGAAAGGAACTCTTACACATTGTTGGTGGGATTGTAAAACGGCGCAACCATTCTGGAAGGCAGTTTGGCACTTCCTCAAAAAGCTGAAACAGAAATTCCGTATGACCCAAGAATATGAGAACTGAGGCACAAACTGAGATTTGTACACCAGTGTTCACAGCAGCATTATTCACCATCGCAAGCACATGGAAACAGCCCAGATGTCCAACCACAATTGAATGGATTGAGAAATTACGGTACATTGAATAATGAAATATTATGCAGCATGCAGGAGCAATGATTTTATAAATTATTACCCAGAGGGACTAGAGAGCATTATGTTGAATAAATGACTCAGTACAACAAAGATAAATATTGTACAAAACCCTGACTGTAGAGTGAGTCTGAGGATCCAACGCAGGGCAGAGGGTGGAAGCAGACGGATGAGGATGTGCAGGGGACGGGGGGTGGATTAATCACAAGGTTGTACAATTTGATGGGGGGGGGGCGAGGGAAATTGGAAGAATTTGGTCTGAAAAAACAATGTATTCAAATTTTGTAAATAAACTAGTATAATTTAAAAAAAAAATAGAAGAACAAAAGACATGCTGCACTGGGAAAATCTGCTGTCAAGGACCTCTCCAAAGTGCTAACGAGCAATGAGGACAGTGTAAAGACTAAGGTGTGTCTGATTTAAGACGCAGTCTTTTCTATCGTTAAGCAATGAAGAAAGATGACTGAATTATAATGTTAATGCCTTTGAAGTGTGGCGTTGGAAGAGTGCTGACTAGCCCATGGACGGCCAAAAGACAACTGTGTCCTGGAGGAATTAAGTGAAAACGGTGCGCTTTCTGGAGAAACTAGTTCTTGCCAAGAGCCATCAATCTGGGGAGGGTGGAGGGTCAGTGGAAGAGAGGAAGACTCCCCCGGCTGGATGGAGCCAGTGACCGTGGGGGCTCGAGCTTGGTGGAGATCCCTGGCCTGGCGCAGGACAGAGCCCACACCAGGTCTGCCGTTCACAAGGCTGCTGTGAGTTGTCAGTTCAACTCTTAGGTGGCGGCACCCAACAGCAGCAATGCAGACCTCGCCTTCGCTCCTAAGAGCTCTGCGAACACACGTCGGCTCCCGAACGTGGACGGTCGTCAGGGAAGGCCCTGACCCTTCTGTCTCAACTGCTCTTGTGATTCTCATCCTTCACAAACTCTTCCCCAAAAAATCAGGAGGGACAGCAGAACAAGATAAAGACATCACAGGAGCAGAGAGAGACGGATCAGTATTCCTGAAGAAACCGACACAGATTCAGGAATGCAAGGCTGGCTTCACATGTGAAAATCCGTCCATATACGCACCACCATGACACGGGTCAAACACGTGACGCTGTCACTACATACAGAAACGGCACCTGACCAAAAGCCAGCGCTAACAAGGATCTGTCAGCTTCCTCACCCTGACACATGCCATCGATGGAAATCCCACAGAGGCATCATGCTTAACCGCTGAAGACAGAAAGCTCGGCCTAAGAACAGCAGGACAGGAGCGTCTGCCTCGGTACTCCCGTTCAGCGATGCACGTCAGGTTTTTCAAGTCCTCTAATACAACTCAACTATGTCCTGGAGATTTCTGAATTGCCAGGAGAGGAATGTAAAAAAGAAAGAAAAGGTACACAGAATGGAAAGAGCAAATAATCTGTATTTACAGAAGACATAATCTTATACATGGGGGGGAAAAAAAGCCCAAGGAATGAAATTTAAAGACTTGTCAGAACTAAGAAACTAGGTCAGCAGGGTTGCAAGATATAAAATTATCTTTATTTTTATACTTTAGCAATGCACAATCAAAAAAATTGAAAATGAGAAAACAATTCTATTTCAAGTAGCCTAAAAAAGAAATCAAATATTTGGGCACATATTTAACAAAATAAGTACAAGTGTTACCTATGGAACTACCAAATATTGGGGAGCAAATTACAGAAAATAAAAATAAATGGAAATCTATTCTTGACTGGAAGCCATAACACTGCTGAGATCACAAAGGGATCCTGTAGCTCCAAAATCACACCTATCACAACCCCAGTGGCTTTTCTGTAGAAACTGCGAAGTTTCAGGTGGAATTTTCAGGAGCAAGAATTATAATCTTGATAAAGGAAGACTAAACTTATGAGACTTTCACTTCGTCATTTCAAAACTTCCTACAAAATGACAGTACTCAGAGAGAGGAGCATGGCAGGAAGGCAGGAAGGCCGGAGGACAGAACTGGGAGTTGAGACATCAGCTCGGACACACTGACTTTCAACAAAGAAGTCCAAGGTTAATCACAAGGCCAGCAGAGCTCCCTGCGACCGACGGAGAGCCCGGTGGCCTGCAGGCCTGAGCTCGCCATCTCTGACACACTCAACCCCACTGTTACGGTCTCTTGGCCGCACGGACGTAGATCTGATTCCTGTGCATTCAGTCTGGAGAGACCCCCGTTCCCAGCTGCCTTTTAAACTGGTAGAAGACGTATCTGCACTGAGAACGTCACCAGTCTCTCAGTCTATCACACCGTCTCCACTATCATTTCCATCACAGAGGAAAGAACATTTCAAAGCCTGTTCTGAAATAAGTGCAGCGCTGGCTGTCAGCGGGAGGGCCATGTCCAAAACAAGTCAGACCAGTGAATTCAACTGTTAGACATCTGTGATCTGCCCTGGGTTCTAGGGCATCTTTCATCATTTCCAACATTCCTGGGTTCATACTTTGCACAATTTGACACTCAATTCTTCCTTAACGTTTACAGCGGTTTTCTCTCGTTTAGTCAGTTGTGCTCCATCAGCAGACAGAAGTCCTGGAAGTTGATTCCACCCCCATCACTCAGGTCAGTCGGATCCTTGGTGAAGGGCCAGCTTCTCCTCAGGCAGGCCGAGTGCTTCACAGCTCAGGACCTGTTCCCAGCACGGAGGCTGAACGTTCTCTGCTATGCATAAGGCTTTCACTCACAGGTCCTAGCTGGGAGCCCCCCGACACCTGTCCCCAGGGATGACCCTGCTGGTGTTCACGACACTAGGAGCAGAGCCTCCACGTCACAGCCACACACACCTGAGCCAGCACTGCGAGCAGACGAGCGACGGCGGCAAACAGGAAGGTCACGTCAAAGAGCATGGACTGCCTGACACACTCTGCACGAAGCCTCCAGAACAGGCAGGAGTGGGGAGACCCTCGATGACACGGACGGATGACTCAGCGACTGTGGCCTGGGCTTCAGCTCGGCAGAGGCTGGGAGGGGGCACTGGTGAGGCAGGGCCTGCTGTCCAGAGGGTCAGGATCCACCTGTGACGCCCCAAAACAGACACATGATGTAGCCCCGTGTGTCCATGGGGGAGGGTGAGACGTGGGGGCTGTGACCAACGGTGGGACAGAGTTCATGCAATGATGAAAATGGCCCAAAACGGACTGTGCTGAATGACTGACTTCAAATGTGCCCAACTAATGACCCGGGCACATCTCAGCGTGGCTGGTGTTTGATGTACAAACAGCAAGAGGTCGGAGGGGTGAAAACACCGCGCTTCCTTGTCATCGCCAAGCGCCCAGGCTGACGTGGACCCTGGTTCTCTTTCCTGACCACACCACTGTGGTGTACACACTGCTGTGATGTATGATGCCTGGTGTCAAGTCTCCATCAAGTCAGTCCACAGACACTTTCATTTAATGGGATTCTAGGAACTGCTGCAAACTGAGTCACACGCCAAGGAATGAAAAAATGATTAGATTCTCGGACCACAATTCTCAGGCTCGTGTATCCCAGAAACTTAAATATCTGACTGACATGTCTGTCAGCCAGCCAGGGGCAGAAAGGACCCTTTTCTGCAGTTCTTTTGTACCCACAGGCTGGCATGCAAAGCTCAAGGTGCCCTCTACTGACCTGATCTATGACCCTCTGAGACTTGTCTGTCTTCTCTAACCCAGGACCTCAAATAACCAGCCATTTATAAAGCAGTGTTTTTAAAAAATAAAAGGCTAGTTATGGGTTGGAGGTGCTCCAGAACACATCTCCTGTCTACTTTTGACTATTGTAATACTCTTGCTTTCAGACGACACACACACTTTGAAGAGATGCTGGCCACCATGGTTAAGCCAGTACTTCTGACAGCATCCCCTCCCAGTGCAAATGCTGTGAAGAGGCCGCCCAGGAGGCAGCCCAGCCGTTCCTGTGGCGTCCTGAGCTCGGGCGCCCTCTGCTGACAGGTGCCCACGAGGACCGGGCGATGCCCGCGAGGACCAGGTGATGACCATGAGGACCGGGCGATGACCATGAGGACCGGGCGATGACCATGAGGACCGGGCGATGCCCCCGAGGACCAGGTGATGACCATGAGGACTAGGTTCTCACCTGGTCCTGAGTGAAGGGGCTCTGCGCCCAGCACCAAGCTCCCATCACAAAACAGGATTCCTTCTCCAGTGACAAGTTACTAATGCCATCAAAACCCTACCTCGATGAGATTCAGAAAATGCTTAATGTTCACTATGAGAGCTCTCCGAGGGCTGGCCCTGGCTCCCCAAGCTGAGGACCCCACCCCAGAGGACAGGCAGGTCTGCAGAAGAGAGGAGGGAACAGGGACTCACATGTCTGCATGAGAAACAGCAGCCTGTGCCCACTGAGAGGACCAAGGTCTGGACACCTGGTCAACGTGTAAACTGTACACCTGGGGGTCCAGACCTCCACCTGTCCACATACTGAGGACCCAGGGCCAAGACCTGGCCAGCGTGGACACTGCACACCTGTGGGCTCACACCCCCACCTGCCCACACGAAGGATCCAGGGCCGGACACCTGGCCAGCGTGTACACTGCACACCTGTGGACTCACACCCCCATCTGCCCACACGAAGGATCCAGGGCTGACACTGGCTCAATGTGTAAAGCGAGGCTGAATGAGGGCACTATACGAGGAGACCCCCAGCACTTCAGCCCTTCCTGCGAGTCCTCGACTGCCCATGCAAGCTGTCCACAGGGCCCCTGGTGCACGCACAAGCACGTGGGTGTGAACAGTGCAAAGGCACAGTGTGTCTGTCTCGGTGCTCTGGGAGCTCAGTCCACCAGGGAAAGGGACCAACGACATCATCATGATCTATGAGCGAGTCCACTGGGGGGGGCAGGGAAACCACCCCTGCTGCTCAGACGGTTCCGGTTCCTGAGGACCCCGACTGGCATCACGGCAGGACTGTGGCTCACGTGCGGCATTCCGAGGCCGGAGCTTCACAAACACCTCACCAGGCCGGCCTTTAGGGTGGACACGAAGTTCCAACCTGTGGGCTAGCAGCCCAGTCACCTGCCTGCAGGAGCACAGCTTCCACCACGGCTGGAGGGCGCGGCTCTGGTGGCACAGTCTCTAGGGGGCTGCACTACTGACCTGAGGCTGGGCCCCTCTGCGGGTCTGAATCCACTGACAGCTCCCAGGGGGAAAAGCAGGCAATCTCCATGCAGTTCCCGGCCTCAGAGACACGAGGCGGTCAGCTGGGAGTTGGTCCTTCAACCTCGGTTACAGGAGCTGAGAAGACCGCAGAGCAGCGATGCTGCCTCCCTGTGTCCCACACACTGCTCTGCAGGTACACCAGGGGACAGGTACACCCAGGAGACAAGTACACCCAGGTGCCACCTAGGCATGCCAGCACTTTCTGTGTGCTGAGTCCCGGGCTCAGCGTCACGGCCACAGCCCTGTCCTGCTACAAGAAGGCGATCAGTCTATCTCTCTAATCAGGTCCCTCTCTGTCCCTTCATCCTCTCAGAAGAACAAACCCAGGAGGGCCCAAAGTCACTTTCCTGTGCAACTCGCTCCATCCTGTTCAAAGTCCCTAAACCAAGGTCTAGGGCTCAGGTGTCCCCTCTTCCCTCTGCAGGACCGCTCCGGCCTCACTGACCCTGGGAGCAGTACACGGCACAGGCCTGGGTGTGCCCAGAGCACTGACACCTCAGGCAGCGGGTACAGGGTCCCCAGGCTGTGCTGACGCCCTACTCCACCCATGGCTGCTCTGCAGGGTCACAGCAAAGCCAGGTTGGTGACATGACCTCACTCCTAACCCTGCCTGGATTCTCCGTAATCATCTCAGCTTGTACCCACTGGCATTCCCATCAGGGCGGCTGCAGACCCACTGTGAGAACAGTACTGGGGCAGCACACGGGTTTCTCATTCCAGAGTCCAGGGTGAGCGGGTCAGAGTAAGTGCAAAGTTGAAGGTCCCCAGGCAACACTGAGCACGGGCCACAGATGACCCGCAGAAGGGCAATATGGACAGGTACATCGTCACACCCAGGCCTCCACTCTGGAGTGACCACTGCTGAACGCAGCGCTGCCCAACATGAATTTAATATGTACCACACAACATGTGCACAGATTGCAGCAAATTGTTCCACAAACGCAAATTATTGCAATCAGCATCTTGTTTCCTAGTTCTAAATTCAAAGGCAAACTATTAACACAAGACTGCTAACTCTTGCTATTATCACACTTGCTATTATTACACATCCTCCTTCTAACAAAACTCCATTTCCAGATGGACTGCAGAATCAGGTCAGCGACGCCTAAGAAACACCCTCAAGACAGACGGACGAGCCAGAGACCCGCTTAGAGATGAATGAGGTATTTACATGCGGGACCCACACACCCAAACACACCTATCGTAGGGAGACACAAGCCGCTTTATTTACAATTCAACGTGGATCGTGGCTCCGTGAAGCCATTCGGAGCAACACTGGGACAGCTGGGCTGTTACCCTGGCAGCATACTGATGAGTTCTCACAGGCGGGTGGGACAGACGCATGGGGGTGTGGTGTGTGTGAAAGAGTGTGTGTGTGTCTGTGTGTGTCTGTGCGTGTGAGAGAGAGAGAGAGAGCGCGCGCGAGCACACTCACATGTGGGCTGGGCCTGGCTGGGGAATCTGAATAATAAATCAATGAAGAACACTATTTAAGTTCAAGCCAGACAAGGTCTGAGGGAAGGTAGAGAGCGGAGATGATGGGAATGGGGTTGAAATTGTGGTCAGCACTGTAAGGACTCAAGAAGTCTTTATGTTTTTGCAGATGGCTTCTTTTGCTCTGTTTCATATAAAGACCAGTGTCTGATAACATATGACCCTCCAGGAGCACATAATTCGGGGCGGGAGCACTCGGAGCAGGAGCACTCTGAGTGGGAGCACGCGGAACGGGAGCACTCGGAGCAGGAGCACTCGGAGCAGGAGCACTCTGAGTGACAACATCTGCATCTCCACTGAGCAGCCTCCCCGTCAGCACGTCACTGGCGTGGCCACTACCATGAGTGGGACGAGCTGCCATGTTTCAACAGAGAAAACTCAAGGCCGCGGCTGTCTGTCCAACGAGGAGGCCCTGGGCTCCGCACCAAGGGGCATCTGAAGGGAGGGGACGGGGCCCAGCCTGAACAGAGCACCCCATGCCTCAGAGCGAACGGCTGGCCACAGACAACACCCCTTCCATCCGATGGCCCCATCCCTGCCACACACACGGGAAAACGGGACAGCCACTCACCACTGGCCGGCTCGAAAGGCCAGGTCCTTCTTAGCGACATGGAGACGGAGCATCTTCACGGAGGGCGACTCGTCGGCCAGGCCACACACCTTCGCCGTGGACACGACCTGAAACCAAGCACCACCTGCCGCTACGGTTACTGTGCCCATGACACAGGGTGGGGAGAACTGGACAGGGCGGGGGCTGAAATATATAGAGATGTGGGCTTTAAAAACTGGAAAACCAGGCAAAACACATTTTGCTTTAAAACACTACCTACCCGTCAGGTGAAAAAAGGGTCAATTTTCTTTTTCAGAGGCTTATTACCATAGTAGTTTCATCACACACAGAAAAACTATCTGTTCCAGGGCTCAGGTCTGCTGTGGGCCGTCCCCACAGCCCATGAAGCAAGCACAGAATCACAAAGAGCTTCGTGGCAATTTCACAAAAAAGTTGTGTGTCCATGACAGCTAATTGTTTTTTTAAGTTGAATTTATGTTTTCATGTCATTCTTATAATCTCTTTTTCTAGTAATTTATTTTTACTGTTTTGTTAGTTGCCGTCTAGTCAAGCATGACTCATAGCGACGCTATGAACAAAAGGCCTGAAGCCTTCCTATAACTATCGTTGTTTCTCCAAGTTCATAGTTTCCAGAGGCATGTTGTTTAGGAAGTGGATGCCACTTCTGATTCCTTTTTCTCTAATTTACAAAATTATCAGTGCCTACCAAATTGAAACGAGTTCTTTTCCTCAGAGTCTGAGAAGCATATTTCAAATGACCGATAGGATTTGTGGATAGCCCTAGAAAGGTCTGACGCGGACACTCCCCAGCTGACGTCCCTCATGCTAACAAGACCTCGGCTTCAGGCCTCCTTTCACCCTTAGCTTCTCTTCCTGCCCTAAACCTGGGACATCATCACAAGAGGCAACAATTCGTTCAACCTCCTCCCAGGCGCTGTGCTGCGACCCCAAAGGCAGGCGGGCCGAACCCAAGGAGGACAGGCCATCTCCCGCATGTGAGGCAGAGCCGCGGAGCGCCAGCCGGAAGCTGGTTCCAACCTGAAGGCTCTGACTACAATCTGGGAGCAGCTGATGGCAATGTGGCCAGAGCCCTCAGGGGGTGCGGTGGGAATCTGGGGTGGTCAAGACACCTTCATTGTGCTGCTGGCCCATCCAGGCCCCCTTCTCCATTCAGTGGTCAAATAAAATTATCAGCAGGAGACATTTAACAAAACGATCTACTGGAAAATTCTCATCGTGCATGGCAACTTCTCACATTGAAATCCTTCCTAAAATCTCTGTCTCCTGCAAGTCTCGTCTTTCCACACGCCTGTTTCTCTGTGAGGACGTGGAGGCATTTTATGGCTGCCCCTGTGTTCCTGTCCACTTGTGCCATCAGCCCTTCCAGCCTCATGGCCTTCTTTCATATGCAGTCGCCCCCTCTGCATTGCAGGCCTGGTGTCAAAGGGCACTCGCTGTCCTAACGTAATCCAGGACCAGATCACACGGAAGCACGCAGTTCAGCAGAGTCAGCGTAGAGTCAGCAGCTGCACCGCTCAGCCCTGCTCCATCACCTCCCAGCTGACCGGGGGACCGAGGGCATGGTACCTACCCCCCAGGTATGGAGCCAGCATCCTGGACCTCACAGGCTGCGGGGAGGACTGAGCCAGTACGTGTGCACCCCAATAATCACTCCATAAGTACATAACAGATCCTAACTCATCAGTCACTCAGGATTTATGAATCACATGTCAGACTGGATTCACTCTTCATTCTACAAGCCACTGCTCCTGGGCAGTTGCTGGACCAGGGATCACACTAAGGCACTGTGGCAGGGTGGCAGCCTCGGACCCCATGCACATCCTTAGAGCCCCTACTATGTGCCAAGACGGTTCAGAAGCGGTGTTTTCCTTCAATCCCCGTGGCGAGCTTTTGATTCCTGCGTTCTTGCTGTTCTCCGACTGCAGGTAACAGAGCCCCGGCCGTCCCGTCACTGCTCCGAGGTCAGCCTCGCTGAACGGCCGGTCGCCATGCCCACTGACGGTCATCACTCAGACTGCGCTGGCTCGGCTATTTCACCGAGGAGCGTTCCGCTCACCTAGCACAGCCCACAGTGAACCCAGAGGGTCCCCTCCGGCTCCTCGCTGGCCCCTCTTCACCTCGACCTTTGCAGAGGCCTTTCCAGCAGAACTGCTCAAACTAGCCACGTAAAACACCTCACACAGTTATTGTAAAAACTGGCACCGTGTTTACCACTTAGTATTGCGTACCTGATAGGAATACTGCATCTTCTACCACAAATACTGTGCATTAAAAACATGAACCAAACCTCTTCCTAAGGCCTTTATCGTCCTCTGAGCTCGCTTCCTAGAACTAGGTCAAGGAATCACAGCCTTTGGGAGATGCCAATTTTCTTCCTCCTTTTACTGACTATGCAAAACCCGATGGGAAAGACTCTGTTCTAACAGTTGTACTGACTCTCAACCTCACTGGATCCAGAGATTCCACAATTGAAACCTCAACCAGCCGTGGTCCAAGTGAAAACACATGGTGGGAAACGAAGCTTTCTGTAAAATAACACGGAGACCCTTCTACTGTTCCGTAAAACAACAGTGGCCCTGCCGACTTCGAGCAGCACACATTTTCAACGCTCGGGCCGACTCAGCAGTGAGAAGGGAAATGCCATCGCACTGACTGGACGGCTGGCTCTGTGCCGGACACGGTGAGCGACTGCTGATAGGACCCCTGCAGGAAGCAGACCTTCTCAGTGGGAAACCCGGCCGGTGCCCCTGCTCACACCCAGTCACGCATTCTATAGCTTAAACGTTCAGGCCGAGTCAGGGTTAAAGAGGCCCTGAGACGGAAATGGAGTTAAGACACAGACTCAGAGCTGGAGGACACCTTAATTATCAAAAAGAACAGGAAGTCATTTTACACACAGGACCTCCTGCTCGAGACACTGCATAAATCTGACAAAGTCAACCTGCTGAGGAGGGAGCTGATGAACCTGTCCCATGTAGGGGAAGACCACAGGGTCCTGCCAACTGCACAGCTGGACTCCTCACGCAGCGAGGCCATCAACACTCCTGGGGGCATAACGCCATCCTGCACCGCCCGCGGCCATCCCCCTGGGCTGGGTCTCTGCCCTGCCTCCACTCCTAGAAGCTTCTCTGCCCCTTCCTCTCCTCCAAAGCAAACACAACCTGTAGGGTCTCCTACCTCAAAGCCCCCAGACACCAGCAGCAGATGCCTACCACATAACGCTGCTGTATAAAACACTCTGCAAATATCGATTCAGTTGCTTTTCACAACAAGACCCACCTTACAGAACACCAATTCCAACTCAAGCCGCCCACAGGACCACGTGCCGTGGCTGCACGGCGTCTCCAAGGCTATTCAATCTCCACAGAAACGGGCTGCCTTACCCCTCTACTAAAGAGCGGCTGGTGAATTTGAACTGACAACCTCCTAAGTGCCTTCCTCCCTGGATGACAGGGTATTATCACGATCCTCCTGGAGATAGTGAAGGATGGCACCAGGAGGAAGGACCTTGGAGGTGGTGAGGATGGTACAGGGAGGAGGGACCCTGGAGGAGTTGGGGATGGTACAGGGAGGAGGGACGCTGGAGGAGCTGGGGATGGCACCGGGAGGAAGGACCCTGGAGGAG